TGCTGAACACTGCCTTCAAAAAGCTACTTTTTAACCTTGAAACTGGTGGCAAATATTAAAAAGTCATATATAGTGGAAAGACAAGTAAAAAACCAAGAAAAAGCAATAACTTGCAGCTCAAGAGACACTGGTTATCGTGATTGTGCAATATAGCATTTTCCAACCAACTCTCTGCGAGGAAATGACCTTGGTAAGATTTGTAATTTTATACAGAGGGTTTATTTGCTTTTGCCTTCAAATACATCAAATTAGGTCAAACTTTATTTGCAATAAACTGGGTGCGCACGCTGTAACAGCATGTGTGTGTGGATATTCTTATCAGCATGATTTTTACTTAGATTTGGTTAGTGAGATGAGTGCCTGGTCTAGCAAAACACAGTTATGGTGGCAGGTTGCTGAGTATGTCAGCACACACAACTCCCCCATGGCACCAAAATGCCTTCTCTCTCTCTCTCTCCACAGAGCAACACTAGCACTTGGGAGAAAAAAAAAAGACTTCTATCTCCATCCAGCAGTGGGCAAAGTGTGTATAGACATGCCTGTATCTTCTGGTGGCTGCAATGGCCCCCTTAACAGCTGCACCCAGCTAAGGCACATTTTATGCTCTGCTGGCACAGGTAATAAGCAGGGATTCTAGTTTTCCACAGGGAAAAGGTGGAAAATCTCAGTTAAAATAAAATAAAATACAAAAATCCACATTTTTCCATGACCTACCAAAAGTGCAGCAGTGTCCTGCAGCTAGCAGCACCATTTCTGCTCTCTCATTTTTGGTGCAGATTTTGTCCCTCATCTAATCAGTTGGGTAGAAGGAGAGGCAGGAGGGAGGTGCTGATTTGCCAAGAGGCAAAACCCACAGCAAAAATAAATGCAACAGAAATGGTGCCGCTTGCCGTGGGACACTGCTGTACTTTCGGTATGTCATGGAAAAAATGCAGATTCTGCATGTTCCTCTAGTTTTCTGTGATGAAAGGAAAACTAGGATCCCTGATGATGAAGGGGACCTGCATGGAGAGGAGGAGAAACTGAGGGACCTAGATCTCTTCAGTCTTCTCAAGAGAAGGCTGAGAGGTGATCTTGTGGCTGACTGTAAATTCATCAGGAGAGGGCAGCAGGGAATAGGAGATTCCCTATTTACTAAGGCACCCTCTGGAGTATCTAGGAACAATGGCCACAGATTTACAGAGAGCAGATGTAGGTTGGACATTAGAAAGAACTTCTTCACAGTAAGGGTTGTCAGAATCTGGAATGGGCTTCCAAGGGAGGTAGTACTCTCCCTTACCTTGGGGGTCTTCAAGAAGAGACTGGACAAGCACCTAGCTGGGGTCGTCTGACCCCAGCGCTCTTTCCTGCCCAGGGCAGGGGGTCAGACTCAATGACCTACTGAGATCCCTTGCAACCCTAACACCTATGAATCTGGAGATGCCAGAACCCACAGAGATATGCACATGCTCTGACAGCTGTCTGCCACTGGACGTAGCCCAGTGTAGCAAAGCCTAAGTAATAAGGGTATGGGCACATGAACTTTACTACAGGGTAAGGTGTTGGAAGCTTAGCTCTGTCTCATCCACCTAAGCTGCAGCTCTCAGCCACACTCTGGGTACGTTTTCTGCCTCTTCAGCTAAATTTATTTTCAAAATATAAAAGAACTATACTCATCAGCCACGTCCTCCTGCCTAGGGCTGCTGTCACTCTAGGTCCCTACCTGCAGCAGAGCTCTTTCTTCACAGTCTGCGTCTCCTTCCTCTCTCGTCCCTCCAACCTCCCAGGTGGGATCTGCCGTTATCACTGGGTCCCTCACTTGCCAGGACTGGCTACCCCCTGCTTCTGCTCAACAAATCCTTACAGGGCCAAACTGCCATTACAGTAAATGCAAGGCAGCTTACTCCATTTTCAGGGAGGGTAATTTTTTTTACAATTACCATGGGGTAAAAAGCATGCACGCAGCCATTTACTAAAGAGTGCTCATCATACTGTAAGTTTACAGTCTACTTTACTGTTCAGTACAATGTTCTTATGATCATGCACGTCCACTAGGAACTGTTCATGACAATAAGTATTTTATAAATTGGAAGCTATTTGCTAAAGAGTGGGAAGGAAACAAAAAACAAGAAAAATCTCTTCTTTCTAAAACAGTGCAGATAGCTGTTAAATGCCTAATATCATCCCTTCTGAAAGCTTTTTGTATTAGAACAAAATTGAACAGTTGAGTACATATCCAGAATAAAAACTCTGTGGGGAAAGATAGCCAACCTAGTCAGTTAACTAGCAATCGTTATCTCACAATATCTAGATTGTAATCACTTTAGCAAATTTGGCAATCATCCTAAAAGTAATCTAGGACTGAAAATGGCAACCTATTCTACCACCTGCAGGTCATTCTTACAAGTCAGGAGCATGTGAAAATGGGATTACAGCAGTATCAGCTTGTAACTTTAACTGCAACTAGATTGCTCTGTTACTAGTAAGGATTGTAACAAATATTGACAGAAAATAAGAAATTCAATATTTCAGTTGAAACCTGGTCTTTGACTCACCCTATTATTCCCACAGTCTGGGTTCCATGTACAGTGTTTCACTGCAGTAAGGTACAATTGTTATTTTTAACAGCTGTATATTCACATAAGAATGACACCAAACAACTGTCAAAATAGTGACTTGAAAGTCATTAAGGCAAAAATACTGCACTCAGGTAAGCGCATACAATTCCTGTAGGTGTCAGTGGCAAGCATACACTTTAATACAGATCTTGTCCACAAGAGTTTTCCACAAGAGTTCTTTTTTTTAAAAAAAATATAATAAACTACTTTCTTTCATTGAAAATCAGGTCTCCTGTACAGCCTCTTACAATGCATTTTCAGCTGCGGTAGAAGGGCTATACATCCAATACAATACAGTACTTAGAGACCACATTTAAATGAGGACAAGAACATGGGTAGATCTAGGATTTTAAAGAGGAGGCTGGAGGAGCAGTGATTGGCACCGTGGGGGTGGCTGCAACCCCTACTTCACAGCTCCCAGGTTGGGGAGGAACACCAGAGAGGGGACTGGGCAAGGAGGAAGAACCTGCCTGCTGCAGCCACCACTGTCCCTACAGGGCTCAGCTCCCAGCAGCCTGACTGAAGCAGGGCAGCATTAACTCTGGAGCTACTCCTTTCCCTAGGTCAGACAGACAGCAACAGCAATAGGTGATAGAGGGGAGACCAGAAGGGTAGGGGAGGTGCCCCTGCACACAGAAATGGCAAGAGAAAGGGTGCCACAGTGGGGTTTTTATCTGCTTCCAGGACTCCAGGTCACCAGCTGATCCTCCTGTGATCCAAAAAGGATCACTGTGATCTAAAGGGGGGGGGGTGCAACCACACCAATGTGCTCCCTTCCCCACCCTTGGAACCTGGACAAGGGCAAGAGGTTTCATTCCTATAAAACAAACCATATTTTTGCTAAAAATATTTACTTGTTGGTGGTATAAGAAACCTCTAAGTAAAATTATACCTAGATGTTCTAATTAATTGAATACATTCACACACAGTTCTTCCAAAAAGAAAAGCTAATTAAATATATACATACCAGTAAGTAATTGAGGAATTCTTTTCCACCAAAAAGAACATCTAAAATTCTTTAAGAGCTTAAAAATGGTCTTTTTTTCCCTTCCTATATGACCTGAAGCAACCATGCACCAGGTCTGGAGAAAACTGAAATTAGATTCCTAGGCAATTATGAATATTTTATAAGGAAGTTTGGAAGATTCTTACCCTGTATTGATGGAAATAATTTCTATCAGCGGGTTCTTCCTAATCTTTGGCAAATCCAATCGCGCTCCCCCCAACCGTTTTCCATTATCCTTTTTCTGACCCAAGAGTCTCACAGAATGACCTTCAAATGAAACACAAAAATACAGTCAGTCTTAAACAGAAGTCACATCATTTTGTTGTTCTTCACAAAGAATATCTTGTAAATCTTTCAATATTTTGAAAAGAAAAGAAAAGAAGAGCAATCATTTGTCCATCAATAGGATGGACACACAGGTAAAATCTCACTAAAAAGAATGTTTTAAAATCACATTTACAGATCACTCCTAGTTTTTCTTAAATGTATTCAGTGAAAATGAACTAAACAGTTCTATTTTCATGTTCTCAAGCACTAGCACAATGCTGGAACGTGTCAGCCAGAAACACGGCAGGGTTTAGAATTATTTATGCATTTCTATAAACTCCCATCAAAATTCAGTTTTTAAATAATTGATCTTAAGTATCTTCAAAGCTTAAAAATTGTAGAGCAAAGGCCAAGTCAAATTCATTCCTGTAGCATCAGTCTGAGAGAAAACACACACTAAAGATTTCCACCGGCCAGTCCAAGGGCAAGTGTGACAGCGTGCAACACTGATACACACTCATTCCCCAAGGGCAACAATGCTTAGGGAATGAAATATAAATAAAATATCTGTGCTGTATGCAGGTGTCAGCTAAACCACTGCCTCCATGTCCTCTGCATCTGGATTTATACAGCATAAATGCTAGGGTTTACTCGCACATAAAACATAAAAGTTGCAAGCAAGATCACAAAAGTTGATATCAAGAAATAAAGGAAAATGCCTGAGAGCAACAAACATGTGGATCATATCTGCATAATTCTGGAGTAGGGAACAAGTGGAAAATAAGGACAACCAATCTCTGAGAGCTGGAAAGAAGCAACTGCTTAAAAAAAATGCAAATATTACCCACGGTTAACAAAATCAGTAATATCAGTAAAACACAAGAGTCTCTCCTTTGATAATAAATGCAAGCATAGATATGATCGTTCATGAATAATTATTTTTTTAAATGTCAAATTTAAAGCTGACAAACATAAAAAGCAACCTGAAGGGGAAAAACCAAGAAACAAACAATGACAATAAGATGTTTCAGTGAACTTGGTTTCAAGTTGAACTCAAACGTAAACCAAGCAGATTTGTTGCCTCCTACTACACCAACAGCTCTGCTTAGAAAATTAATTCATCTATCAGTCACAGCCTTTAAAAAGACATTAAGTAATTTAAGAATAATGTGGCAGCTATACCCAGAATTTTTTTTCTGATGTGGCAACAGATGCTCAGAGCCAAACAGCTGTATTTGGCTTACTGTGCCTTTCACATTCTTAAATTAAGTAAAGCTTTTCAAACAAAACATTCATTTAATGAAGAGACAAGTAAGATCTGTATGGTAACATAATAGTTAATGCTATAAGAGATGTCAAAAGTTCAAGAATGCCTATGGAAGGCATACTTTCTTCATACTAGCACGACAGAAATTTCATTACATCCTGCTGTGAATTTAGTAATATGCTGCCTGTGCTAATAACATTTGCTAAATTATTCATCTCCACTATCTCATGCAAATAATAGCAATATCTCTGTCTAATGATACAACTAGTTATTTTCCAACCCAACGGTTCATTAAGGAGTCATGCGCCTAAAAATATGCATTTAATTTTTTTAATAATAAAAAAGGTATCAGTATGACATGGGTAGGAATGAAATTATGAACAAAGTACCTTCCTTTCTTAAAAATATTATGTATGATCAAAAATCCAAAATATTAAATATCTAAAAAAAATAACTTAGTGTAAATACATATAAATGGTATACAGGTACTGTAATTTATTTGGAATGAACCAGTTAGTCCAATAGTTAAAAGCCAATAGTTAATGCTGTTCCTAAACCATAAGTCTGGTTAATTACAAATGTATTGCCATATTTACTGAACCTAAGATGACTCTGAATTTAAGTTGACCACCCAGTAATCAGATTCTATACATGGAAGATTTATAAATTTGTTACAATTTTCCAAGTATAGGATCTAATTATTAGAGGGTTGTCTTAAATTCATCCCTCCCAACACTGCAGAGGAGCAAGCAGTTGCAGGGTGGTAAGCAGTAGGGGGGCAGGTGGCAGGGGAAGCACTCAGGGGCAGGCAGTGGGGAAGTTGAGTGCCCCTTCCACCCCACACACTTTGCTCCACTTGCCTCCCCTGCTACCTGTGCTCCCTGGTGTCTACTTCTCCTCCCATCCCCATCCTCCCCCCCTCCCCCCATGTTCGTCTCCCTGGCACCTGCCTCCCCATCTGCCTGGTTTCCCCATGCCCCTACCTCCCCTCCCTCTTCTGCCCCATGCAACCTCTGGCCCCTCACCACCTGTACCCTGCCAGGTTAAATGGGAAAATACACCTTATCTTGTAAATAAAGTAAATATTGAAAGTCATCATTTCACAACATCAAACAATAGCTGAAAGTTGAGAAATTTGGTATTAGAGTTAAACCAAAGTTCTGAAGTACAGAAAATGTGTGTTTAATATACAAATTCGGTCATAGCCCCCTTTCCATTCTTTCCAATTGTTTCACATTTAAGTCAGAGATCACCGCGAATATCAGAGAAAGCTCAATAAACGTAGGTGTAACCACAACCCCCTCTCCACTCAGCAGAGTTTTAGAGACCTGAAACCTTCCTTTGCCTCAAGACAAAGACCAGACATCACTTATTACCCTCTGCATTCAGTTTTCCTAAGACTTTGCTGCCAGCCAACTGATCTGACCATCCCCACTCATTCTTCCTCAGTCTCTCACTGTGTTAGCAGAGGTGCTAACAACAGATACAAAAAAACCAACTATGTCCATTCACCATTATATTATATATACACGTTAGGGACTCCACAACTCTTCAAGCCAAATATAAGATGTACCCAAGATCTTTCTATACTAGGGATGTGAAAGGTTAAAGGATTAATCGTTTAACACTGATAAGTGCAGTGATAACCATTTAGCTTACTGGTTATCCATTAGCTCCAGGTGGGTGCAGTCTAGCATAGAAGGGGGGAAGAAAAGCCATGCTGTGGTGCCCTAGCAGGAATCAGAAGGCAGCAGGATGGCCCAGAAGGAGGGAGGAGTGAGGAGGAGGGGAGGGGCAGAGGAGAGGGGGACTAGAGGAAAACAGTGAGCAGCCTAATGACATCAATTGAGCAATTAGTTGCTAGTACACAGGTGCTCCCTCCCTCCCAGCACAGGGTTTCATCTGGGCTGTGTTGTCTGCCTGGGCTCGCTTCCTCCACCTCTACCCCCAGCCAAAGGGCTCCAGGAGCTGGAAGCAGCTCCCAGCAGCAGCTGTGTCTAAGCTGCTGTGTTATCGGTCAATCGTTTAACTAATATAATTAGAAGAGGTTAAAGAAATATTTTTTAAATGGTATTTACATCCCTATCCTATACCCAAAATAGAGTGGAAAGCTTGTCCAATGTTATCCTATCAAACAAAAGGCACAGTTATTCTTTTTCTTTAGAGAACAAGGAAGACATCTTTTTTATGTAACAAATTGCAGAAGTTCAGCACCCACAAGAGAAGGATAGATTATGGTAGTGGGACCTATGTTCAAGATGGTAGCACAATTTATTATTTCTGGACTGCCTGTATTTTTGCATCTTGAATCAAGTGCCAAATTGCTGGCACACTGAAACGTTTGTTTAACATTAGCTTGTTTAACAAATTCTTGACCTTCAGCCTTTTTTCCCTTAATAAGTACATCAAAGAGTTTTTGTTCAGTTTTAAACAATTGCTTAAGAATGTTTACTACTTTGTTGCTATTAATAAAGCAACAGAACATGGTCAAACTGAATCATCGTAGCTTTTCGCATGCTGTAGATCTTTCCCCTTCCACATTTCTTAAGAGAAACTTAAAAATGTTTCATCATTCTTCAATAAGGTAAAGAAACAGCAATATTTTCCTAGATTGAACTGACCAATATAAAAAGTTTTATACTAAACATACTATAGCAAGCAGCAGCATTAGGTCACATTCATAAACACTTTATACAGAACTGGCAGGGAAAGTGACGGGAGGGCGGGGGTTGCTGTCAGATTTATTTCTACATTATTACATCTCAATAAGTTTCTTACTATCTTCCTCAAGCTAGATCATGGAAGGCATAGGTAATAGTGCAAAAAACAAACATTTTCTATGTTCATTACAAAAAAACTAAAATAAGTTAATAAACTTAAGTACAATAAGCAAAAGGTATTCCATTCCAGTTGTCAAACAGCAACTTTTAAGGTTTGTTCATGATTCAGAGTCTTGAACTGGTTCAAAAGACTGAGCTTTTCAAGACAGCTGAGCGAAACATGGTATATACTCTGCCCTCTAGGAGAGTCCAAAGCTCATTCCTCCAGTCCTAGTAATCTCTAGCCAATACAGATGGCAAGACAGGTAGATTTCTGAGTGCATATAGCATATAAACAAGTGAAACTCCGCTCTGGGAAACATTTGAAAGAAGCTTAGTTAAAGCCTTCACGAAGTTTCAGGCAGGCAAGCTTCAATGCAGTTATACTAGACAATCAATGCAGATAAATCAAACCATACAATAATCATGCTACCTAAATCTGGTCAGATCAGTAAAGAACCAACTATTACAAATGTTAATGAGATCATGTTAGAAACATTTTTTTTTTAATTAATCAAGGTTCACTAATGGGCAGAGATGACTGTTTCAGGAACAACTCACCCTTAAGCATAAATAACTAACTATTCGTTTAACTCTGGAAAGGCAGAGTAGTACACTGTTAGAACAAATAAGTCAGGAAATGTAACCTCTTTACTCTTTGCCTAAAAAAAGTGTTTCTCAGATTGGCAATCCATTATTCAAAGTAAAAAAAAAAAATAATGCACCTGTTTACCTTTATTGTGAGAGTATTCAAATATATCAAAAGTATAACGGCAAGTCTACATGATATATCACACAGGCACATGCGAGAGGTTTACACAGAATATTTGACCTTGAAGATAGGGGGCTGTGCAGGCAAAGAGGAATGGAGAGTGTCTTTTTGCTTTATGACTGCAATGAAATGTTTATTGCCT